GTATCGTTTTATGTCCAAACATACTTCAGATCACAATGTGCTTTTTTGTCTCGATCCTTTGTCACACCTCGCCATCGATGCGTCATCATGCATGAAGTTCATGCATACAACGACAGATTTTAAGTGACACCACGATTTGACACTACTTTGAGAAAGTAGAAAGACTACTCTTTCTTAGTAGAGTAAAACCAAAACGCGATAACTCGCTTAAAAGGCTTCGGATCGAGCTGAGAAGCGAGATGTCAATAGAAAATACAACAAGGCATTGAGGTAAGCCATTTTTATCGCAAAAATACCAAAATTTCAGCTATAATGTCGATTACCGTTTTTCCCCATACGAACCTGTATAAATTCAAAAAGTTGTAACACAACACCACCATATGCTGCAAGGAGAAGGTCACGTTTTGCGTAACCAAACTCGGCCGTTATGTAATAGTAGACGTCGGCGGTAACTGTGTCACGTTTCGCGCGCTGAACGTTCCCATAAAGATTTTTAAATCTTTATGCGAACTCCTCGCATTGTGAGCTTGGGCCGCCTGTGGCCGGATACAACCCTTTTGAAACGTCTTCGGTAGCCTGCAGGACAGGCGGATTAGCCGTTTCTAACGCGATACACATGCGCGCGCGCGAAGCGCGAGACCGAGCGCACGTGTATCGCAGGCTACGTCTTCGGGGGACTGAGGAGAGCTGCGAGTTCATGAGCTCTCATTCCGCCGTGCCCGCGTGATAAGCGTAAGGGAGACCGCGTAAAAAATTAACGTGAAAAAATGTGTGCGCGAAATAAATCATTTTTTCCTCGAGGTTTCACTTTCGCGTTCGACAGACTAAGAAAAAGTGGGACCCCGGCGGAGAGGGACTACTCGTAGTCTCGAGTTGAAACGACATTGGAATTGGCGAAACCCCGGGGGATACTTCCTATAATGTCCCGGAAAGGGGTGCCTTTTTTCGGGCTTCGGGTAGATAACAAGGTAGGGATTTCAGACAGTGAAGTATATCGATGAAAGGGTAGGGAAATCTGAAAAATAAGTCCAACGTGAACATGAACTGAATATAAAATACTTGTTTTTCTGGTTAACACCTCTTCTGGTTATGCTTGATGTTCACTTTTCTCCATTCCAAGGAAGAAAATGGATACAGTGCTCTAAGTAGGTACGTGAAAGGATATCTTTTTTCAATAAAAAGGTATACAAAAGGGGTAAGGGCTGTCCCTAAAAAGAATAGATGCTCAAATTTTTAAAGAGGTGCTCAAAATTTCTCACAAAAGTTGCTCGAAAATCTTCACGTTACCTTTCATGTTTTCTTCGAGAAGTTTTTAATCAGAGACACCACCAAAGAACCTTTTTTCACCGGTCCTTGACTACCGAGCATTCGAAGGCCTGCCGAAACGAGTTGCAACCTTTTTAACTTGGAAAATATTTATATTTTCCAAGTTGTAGTGGTAGGACGAATTCACTCTATCACTCCTGTAGGCGATAGGCAGCGCCCTCTAAATCTTAAACCAGCCTAGAAAACGAGGGCTAGTAGACTAATTTTTTAGTAGGGCTGATGTCTCGGAACTAAAAAAATTCGTCACGGTTGGATTTATACCTACACTTTAGACCGGAAATCTAGAAGATCTTTTTTTATTTATGTGACTGCAGTTTTCTAATATTACTGAAATAGGGACTTGAAACAAACAAATCTGAGCTGATCTAACCTGTGAAGGTGTTCGGTTTTTTTTTCTTGTCATTATGTTATTTAATTATTTTATTTTACCATATGGTTTTGATCGCACAAATGCAACAATTATCTTTAAAAACACAGCAACGCTTTTGATGTTTGAAACATCGAAACATGTTCCGAAAACTGAAAAGCGTTGACTTGTTGTGTTTTTAAAGATTAATTTTACCATATGCTTATCTTTAATTTACACAGTCAATTAGTTTTACGTATTTCTGATATTACGAAAATATCCTACATAAAAACACGTCTCAATGTAAAGTCTTCATTGTACCTGAAGAAGGCTGGTTTGGCCAGCCGAAAAATAGTACGCCTTTAAAAAAAATCATCCTACGTTGTGTCGGTTTCTACTTTTATATTTTTATTTTTGGCAGCGTTTTGTGTAAGTCGTGTCACGTGTTTACAAATTACGGTGGAATCCCGATTTTTCGAACCCTCATTTTTTCGAACCTTCCGATAACTCGAACCAAAAGTCGTTCCCTCTCCTCAATCCGCAGTCTTACCCTCGATCTCTTAGTCTCCTCCGCAGCCGTTTTTGGGATGTCACGCAACGTTGCCCCCAAAAAACGGCTGCAAAGGAGACTACCGATCTCTCGAACCTTCCGATTTTTCGAACCAATTTTCGTTTCCCTTGGAGGTTCGAAAAATCGGGATTGTACTGTAGTTTGATCTCCATGGGGCTGACTAACAATAACAAGGTTCATAATTTTGAAAATAAAGCTATCAACGTTTGTTGGATGAATCAGTTAAGTAAATGGAAGAAGAAATATCAGAATAGAACGTTTTCATTGTCACGCAATAAAAAATAAAATCATAAACCGTTCAGTGGATAAGGTCAAGAAATTGTGATATTACAGAAGATAAATAAAGAAGGCAGTTCTCCAAGTTTAAGGCGTGTGCGTTGCCCCAAAGTTGAGATATTCGTCGAAATTTTCCACTCAAATTTACAAAGCCTAGTATGGAGCCGCCATTGGTACACCAATATGGCGGCCGGAAAATAGTGTTAACGTCTGGAACTTACTTTGGTTATCTCTGACAATGATTATCTGCACTGAACAAATAAACATTTAACTAAGTACTTTTCCAAATACGTCTTAAGGTAATTCCCCTGAAATAATCCCCTGTTCAAACTTTGTCCACTGAGAACTTTAATTATAAAATAAAAAGGAGGAGTGTGCCCATGTTCGTTAAGCAGTTGAAAATGTCCCATTTCGGCATCATTTAATGCTTTATATTACAAGAACGCATTCCAAGTTATTGTAAAATCTTTGTGAGCCCAGACTCATGAAAACACGCCTCAAACTACAGTCAATACTTGTGTCGGACACAAATAAACTTTTTAAGTTTGATTTTAGCAGACAGCTGAATCCTTGTTAAAATATTGGAACCAAATTGCTTGCCACGGCTGTCAAACTGCAAAATAGAAAAGACCACAGAGCAGGTGCTATTTTCCCTATTTCGTCAATTTTCAGCAATAGAAATCAGATCAGTCTTTTCTCACGCAAAGATAATGATTAGTTGATTAAAACGACTAGAAAAAAAATTGGGTTGCTCGAGCTCGTTAGTGACCTATAGCCATTTTTCAACTGACAGAACTCAATATCAAGGCAAATCCGCCATGTTTTCAATGTGCGCGTGCACGAGCGCGCGGTAGAGACGCCATAAGTTTCTGTCTGCTTTATGTCACGCACCATCATAACTTCGAAATTCAAAATGCGCTGGTTTTCAAGTGAAGGGCGCTATCGAGCTAGAAAGTTGTAAACAGATATAACTTTAGGATAAAAACTTTGGTGGATCTTTAGTTTTTTTGGATGAATTTGATGACGTCACTAGGTCACGTAGACGTATCAAAAAGCCTGGGCCTCAGCACACTGAGACGAGGCGACCAAGCCCACTGCGAAACTCGTACAAACTGGATCGACTTCTCTAGCCTCCACCTCAAAACTTTCAAGCGGACGCATAAAAGACACGCAATGGCGAAGTCAGAAAGGAAAGTCGGTATTCCCGTCGATGGAAGTGAACACAGTGAGAAGGCTTGTGACTGTAAGTAGCGATAAATTAAGGTGAAGCTTTGCGTCGTTACAGTTCAAAGCAGTTTGATAGTCTATTCCATCAAGGACGGAGCACCGTGGAGATAGCGATGTTTGTCAGCTTGAAATTGAGTGATCAGAAGACTCAAATTGTTATAAGATTTATTCAAGCTGCGGTTTAAACTTATTGCCTAAGCTGTGATTTTTCAATCTCAGATAATTTTTGCGTCGTACACATTCCTTATATTGGAATCTATTCCAACGATGCACATGCAAATGTACATATGTTTTCACGTGATGGGCATGTGAAACCAGCTGAAACGAACTATGTAAACAAGAAGGTAAGAGAGCTTTCAACCGGGTAGTTCTGCTCTTCTGGTGAAAACTTAAAGTACTTCAGGGGTGGGCAAGGTTGGAATAGTGGATACAAGTCACAAATGCATGAAAAACTGACGCCAATTTGCTTTTACGAAAACAAATTGTCAAATTATCCACTGTCGCTTGTTGACACATTACATAAACAAGAAGATCTGTTAGATCTTATAACCGCGCTTTTAAAATTTAACTGTTTT